ACATGCAGCTAAATTCCACTTGAAATGAAAGGACTAACAGTGTTTCCTTCAAGCACCCACATCTCTGGCTGCTTTGTCTGAATGGCTGAAGAGACATGCCCAAAACCATCTCACTGAAAGGCTGTCCCCCCTCCACAGTATTTCTACATACCAGGCATTTAAACCAGACTGGTTCAAAAACCTTCAGCTCTAGTGTGGCAACCCGTAGCCTCTGATACAAGAAGTTGTTAGCACGCTTCAGCTGGTCTATGCTCAATGCTCTTGTAAAGATGTTGTGTGACAGTGTTAGCTAAGAGTGGTTAATTCATCCTTACATAAAGAGGACTAAATAATGCTTATCGGCACTAGTGTCAAGAGCATCCTAAGCACAGAGCTACAAGAGGCGCTCTTCTTGGCTCCCAGACAGAAGGGGGATTACTGTGAGGCCACGCTGTGCCCCTGATGTGGCCTGCTGGAAGCCACTAACAACTTCTCTTGAATTTTTGCAGTTTTACCATAGCCGCTGCAAAAGCAAGAATGTGCCTTCCAGCCTCCTGGCAAGTGTCTTCCACGTCACAGTAGAGTGTAGCAGAATGTACATATAATGTAAATATGAGATTGTGCACCTAGAAATCCCCTGAATGGGAGATTTCTCAGTTTTAGTCTCAAATTACTGGAGTGCTCCTGTTCAAACCATCCATCAAGTCGAGAGAAAGAAACTGTCCTGACGACTGAATTCATCCATGGAAATGCTTAATAAGAAGAGTTACATGCAAAATGTAAGGCTATGAACCGGAGACGATTTTATAGGATTGCATGGAGCTGTTTATGTATGTTTGGATCACCTGTACTTCATAGGATTTCATCAAATTCATATTTGGCAACTGTGTACTGATTGTGGCTAATTTACAGTTTTATCTCCTATTTCCTCTATTTCAAACATCCTCTAATCTTCTCAAATCCTCCTTTCCATTTCCTCAAAAATCCTATTCCTCTATATCCTCAAATATCCTTTTTATCCTTTTATCCAAGGATAAAATCTTTGTGATTGATAATTAGAAACCAAAAAAATTACATTTTCTTTTGTCCAGCTTCGTTTGGTTCTATGTTTCAGAACCAAAAGAGGTGGAATTTCAATTGCTGAACATAACACTGTGCTAATATTCTCTTGAATATGAAGAAACTTTACCTGACGCATGAAGAAATCTCCAGCTACTGCTTTCAAGTCATACACAGCATTATAGAATTCATATAAATATGCTGGATGAGCAAAATGACTTTGAGAAGCCTCGGGAGAAGCGGTCACAAGTACAGGACGCAGTGCTTCACGGGAGCTGTATACATTAGACAGTATTCAATGTGAAAAAAGTATTAAAAGAAAGAGACAAAAATAAGACAAAACATTCCAGCTCTACAAACTATGAAAGACAGAGAAGTGCATACTTTTAGAGCACTAATATAACGTCTTTATCGATCAGTCTAACATTCACAGGACTCCAGTTCTACTCTGGGAGAGTCTCTAAAAAAAAAAAAAGAAAAAAAAAGACAACGATTCTCAAGTTTCTTATTCTCAGGGTGCACTTTTCCAGCATTTAAAGACAGGAGATCTGAGTACACACAAGGAGCATATCTGTTGGAAAAGCATTTTGTCAGTACTACTTCTGACATAAGCTTCATTTCATATGACACTCTCCATAGAAATAACAGACCTTTCAAGCAGCCAAACTCATGCCAAAATATTGGAAAACTATAGAGTCTTTGTCAGCATTGCCAATATTTTTCTTTCCTAATTTCTCCTTACCCAGCATTTAGAACCTACAAATATTGAAATATATGAACAGCAGCATAGTGATGACAGTAGCATATGTCCCCAGGCTTTTTTTCCTTCATTTTTTAATAAAAACCTCACAGAAACAGAGACATAAGGGAACTGATTTTTTCTTTCTATGTTTAAGCACTTTAGATCCACTTATTTTCTCTAGACAGAATCACAGCATGAGTAAGGTTGGATGGGGCCTTTGGAGATCACCTAGGCCAACTCCAAGCAGGGTCACCTAGAGCACGTGGCACAGGGTCACATCCAAGAGCATTTTGAACATCTCCAGAGAAGAAGCCTCCACAACCTCACTGGGCAGCCAGTCCCTGTGCTCTGTCACACCCACAGGGCACCTCTAGACACCTCTTAGGCACCTGCAGAAGCTCTGCAATCCTGGTGAACCTCTGTAATTCTGGTGAAACTCTTTTGGGAGGGATGTTCCTCACTTGTGCAGACCAGAACTGTTGGTGGGGAAGGCCTGTGCAGAGAGGTTATGTTATGCGATTGGCTTGGAGGACACAAGGGGAGTTCCCCAGGATTTAATGCAAAGTTGCAGGCAGTCCTGGACACCTGGTTGATGCTTTTTGACTTCTGACAATCAGATGTCACCGATTTTCTTTTAATCAGCTCTCAGCTTTGTGACCTCATTGAGAAAACACCCAAAGGTGCCATTCAGGGAATTTCTTTGGAAGATGTTTATTTCTTTGCTGGTGCAAAAATACGGCTCAGGTTCTCACCTCAAAGTCACAAGTTGTCTTCACCCTGCCACTTTGAAGCTCGTAGCTAACATAGGCTTTTTTTTTTTTCCAAAGACTGCTACCTGTTAATGGAGAAGAATTGCTAGATAAGGCATAGAGTGGAAAGTGCTTTTTCTTGGAGCTGAAATATGAGAGGATCTTGTTAAGCTGGAAAACAGGAAGATGAAAATCCCTCTTACTGCTGAAAAGTGCAAAAAAGGCAGCATGCTGAGTCCCTCATCTATGGACTCAAAATCCCTCAAAACAAAGAACGCCCAGAACTGAATCCCTCTAAAAATGAAGTTCTCTTTCCCCGAATAAATCCCCACAGTCACTGACAGGACTATGTATTACATAGTAGTAGAGAAATGAAGTATGGCCCGCTTTTTGAATCAAATGTATGAGAAAGAATTACAAAACATCACTTAGTTCCAAAGATAACCAGGAAGCAGGCTAGAAGCCTCTAGGAAAGGAAAGGGAAAGCAAACCAACCAGCCCCAATTACTTAGCTCTCATTTCAACATTTTCCTCTATATGCCAAACCAACACAGACTAAACAAAACTGTCAAGGGAACCTGTGAAGAAACACAAGAGCCTGAGGATTCCATGAATCAGATCATTTAGGCAGGGAAATGGATGTAAGTGCTTGTAACACAGTCTTCTGTGCCTGTACCAACTTCTCAACAGATCAGTTTTGGTGGATTCACCAACAGCATCTATGAATTCAGGATACTTTAAAATTTAAAACTTTTTTTTTCTTTTAATAGGGCAATCAAAATTAATTAGCAAAAAAGCTCATGCCCACGGGGATGCAGAAGCATGCAGATTTTCTCCCTGGATTGCCAAGCAGAAAGACAGGCATTTGGGCACATACCAGAGTCCTTTTGTAGTACATGAAAAAAGAACAGCTTTCCCACAGCTGCAGAAAGTGTTAAGACCATCCTTGGAACCAAAATATTTAATGCCCTATGTACTATCTGTTTTACTATATGAATATACAGAGTTTGCCATGCCACTTCCTCATGGACAGCAAATCTCTAACCGGTTCAAGAACAGAACTTCCAAAAACAGCTTTGCAGCTTCTTTATCATCCTTATTTGTCAACTTGTTTTAAGGGGAATTTTTTTAAAAAGAATCAAAGAAGGCCTCTCTTATTTATCTAGAACTTTGTAAGTTCTTTGCAATATTTGGGACTAGAAAGAAATAGAAAAGATATTCTTCCAAATATAAAATGACTGAATACAATAGGCATCACCATCACTAGCACAAACAAAGGATGAAATAGTATCAGTGTCTATAAATTTTAAAGCTCTTATTCCATATTCCTTATTAAATTTGAGCAGCTGGAGCCAGCACACAGATAATGAAATGCTTTTCTAGAACCCCACATTTTCTTGAAATGAAGTTACAGCAATGTGCTAATTACTCCATGATAATTTCCATAATTAGAGGCTGCTGTTATAAGCACACAACTCTTGACTTCACTACATAATTAATCTGGGGAACTATCTGGGCTGGGAAGGAAAGAGTCTTTACAAAAACACACACAGTCTTCAGCAATTAAAAAAAAAACAAACCCAGTGAACATCATCTGATACACTCTTCAACTCTTCATTCGGCAAAACCTCTTTTTTTTTGAATCTGCTTCGAAAGTTCCTCTTCAAAGTATCAGCAGTGTTCCTCGTTACAAACTTGGTAGAAAACTAATACTCCTTTATTTTTATGGTAGAATTGATCCATCAGACAAAGAGCTTAAAAAATATTCATACAAATGACCTGCAGTACCTCTAGGTTGGCTCACCACCCAGGTGGCTCGATTCCAACTTCAACCAGTGTCCACCAGGGCCAAGGATGGAAATAAAATTTATAGAGCTTTTTGATGAACTTGGAGAAACCAAAGAATAACTTCACTTCCTAATAAAGCAAGGAAAGAGCAGGACATGCTGTTTTCCATATCAGTGAGCTGCCAGCTGCTTCCTAGCTTTGGCAACAAATGACATTACATACATATTCCATGAACAAGGTACACGAGCTTCTTCCGTGGCATCCCTCTACCCGTCTCCACTGCATTTCGAATTTGTCCCGTCGCAGCTCCTGAACCATGCACAGGAACCAGGAAACAGTCGGAAGCCAAAGCGCCTGTCCCGCGCCAGTTACACACCTGCACTTTACCACTGCTGTTCCTACCCAAAGTGAGGCAAACCCAGCCCTGTCCTGGTAAATCCCAGTGATCTTCTTGGCACACAACCTTTTAGGATCTTTATGACCTTTTATGACTATTATCCACTTCCAGTGTTGGACATACCCAAATTATAGCACTGAGTGTTTTTGCTCATCGTTTTCACAGCACAAGGCTCCTAGGCCTCCTTAGAAACACTAAGCTTACCCTCTATTCTCTGTGCTACCTTGTTAGCTTTTAGTTAAGTCCGATCTGAAAATAAAAAACACTCCAAGGAATGACAACTTAATTAAAATTCTCACATGTATTATGTCAGTTACAGTTATGCAATGGCCAAGTATTAGTAAATTCATAGCTAATATTAAATTAAAACTCTGGAAAAAAAAAGTGACAAACAGCTCCATGGCACGTACCATTCTTACCATGGGGATAATGCTTACCCTTTGTCCCAAGGGACAGTGGAAACAGGTATAAATATAGAAAATGTCTCAAAACTGCAAATCTAAGCCTATGTTAATGCTCTAAACTGTCACTGACTTTCACTAAAATTATTCAGATCCAAACATAAGTAATGATTTAGGACATCAATTTATAACTTAATGCTGGTGACCCTGTACCAGTCAGGCTGGCTTGCTTTCTGTACACAAAGCAAACTACACAGTGGCAATATTTTATCACTGGTTTTACAAGAGCGTATCGTTTGTAAATATATTTTTTAAAGATATACATACACAATTCCCCAAATTCAGTCATGGCTAAGTATTTCTCACCTAGCTTTCAATAATTTTAAACAAAATAAATACCAAGCCTTTTCTGTTTGGATGTCTTGCTTTGTTTTTCCAGCCTGAATGAGTCTACAAGTATTTTCTTAGTTATACAAGGCCAATGTTTCACTTTGCAAACATTGAAGATGAAGGAACACTTGAAGCTTCAGCACCAGAAGGAAAACAAGGAAGAGTGAAGAGGGTAGCTCCATTCGGAAGCACAAACCTATAACAATTACTGTTCCAGTTTGTTAGAAGTTGCTCAAAAATCCTTTTATTCTAAGTAGTCCTATTGTTATTGTCAACCAAAGTGATTCTTACGTGGGATCGCACCTTCAACACCCCAGATTTGATACAGTCATCCTGAAGAACAGCAACACAAAACAGTTCCCCATAAACACTGGAGAGATCAGAATACATGTAACCTCTTGCAAAATGTCATCTCAGTTCATGCAAACCTTTGCCTTTTTCCTTAGAAAAAGGAGTCTACTATGCTTGGACTTTGTTCCTGTGATTTTTTTGTTGTTGGAGGGTTGACTTCTTGACCGTAAGTTTTGTTTGTTAGGTTGAATGAGGGTGGGGAGAGAGGAGAAGCACCATAATATTTGCTGATTGAACTGCTTGCAATGACGCTGATGACTTCCCCTGTTTCTCTCCAGGCTCCCCTTACTATCCTCATTTTGCAGCTTTTTTCTTTTTTTCCAGAGTGCTGTCAAAAGAGTTGTGAGAGTTCATTCTTTTGAGAGAATAACATTGCTGATTTCCTTTAACTCTTTACTTCCATAGGAAGCAGATACGAGGCAGATTTGCAAGAGAATGCTAAATCAACTATGGAAGTTCTGCACTGTTGCCTGTTTCTGAGAAAGTCGTAGAAGTTCTTCTCTAATTGCTTTTATAAGAGAGGCTGAAGAGTGACCCGGCTGGAGGTCCTCAGTGGAACTGGTGGTGTAGCAAAGGCCCTGGCCCTGAAGGCTGTTGTGTGGAAGCTGAGCAGGGGGTGCCGAAGGCTGCCTGGCTGAAGTCCTCGGCATCTGGAATACTGGTGAGGAGGAATATTCTTGGTGTCCATGCATATGCGTCTGGAAAAAGGTAGAAAGCATTATTGTACTCCCAGCAAACAGGATTATCCCAGAAAAGGCAAGAAAGCAAAAGGGCAAAGAACAGAGGGAAAGCAGCATGGAGATGCTTCTATCTGCTGCCACTGTTCCTTCATATGAATGAATGATTCCTCTATGGAGCACAAAACAACAAGCATACGTAAAATTGCTTGGACTGCCCCAAACTCAAGGAATTTTAAAGTTGCTTTGAATGTTCACAGGAAATCTGGCCTTCTCCTACTCTCTGATAGTTTTACTGGGAGAAGGTGGGGAGAAAAAACACAGAACTGCAATTACACAAGGGAGCTGGCTTTGCTTTCATTGCTATGCCACAAACTTCATAGAAGTCAGTGGGAAAAACACTATCTTCCCAGGTATCATTTTTCAGAAGAAGCAGCAGGAGAAAATTATTCAAATCAGATAGATTAAATTTCCCATACTCTAGAGATGACTTTTACACATTTGAAAAAAACTATCCCAATTTGGGGACAAGCTCTATCTAGTAAAAAGGAATTACTTTTACTTTTGCTCAGCCACATATATTCTCTCATGAAACAAGGGAGAATTAAAATAGAAGCCTGAAATTATGGGCTTGTACATATAGAGAAAAAACATGTACACTACAACGAAGCACGAAGTTACAGTACACCAAGTGGATGAATTTACAGTACACTAAGTGACTGTATCGACTCCCAGTGTAGACACAAGCCAGAGTATGTTTTGACATCTTAACTTCCAGCTGTGATCCCTAAAGGAGGTGTTTTGTTTTGGCTGGTATCTGTGAAGGCTGAGACACAGCCCAAGGGAAACCCTGGGCACAGATGGGAGCGAAAGCGGCACCGTCCCCTCTCCAAGAGCCTGTGCCGGGGCTCAGGTCACAGGTGTCACCGTTCAGGGAGCACTAACTTCCTCTGCGGATAAGCATTAAGTAGCAGAAAGGAAGGCAACCTGGTGAGAGAAGAAATTAATGCAAGGTCAGCTATGAGAAGCCTACCAGAGAAGGGGGAAGGGGAATGCAGGTATTAACAGAGGAGAGTCTGGGGAAAATGGGGGGACCTGCTGTGACTGTAGCAAGCGAGAAACAAAAAGGCAGGAGAATACGCTGCTTTAGGTCTCACAATATGAATGAGAAAACGCCTGAGCCACCTGGTTCACAGCTGAACTAGTAACGCCCTCTGACTCTCCTGCACAGCTCACGTGCAGCACAGATCACTTGCACGTTTAACTTGAGGGGAGAGATAAGAGGAAAAGAAGCTTTAATAGAAGAATGGTGGGTAAAGAAGGGTTTCCACGTTACATCCGCTCTTACTTCTTACAAAAGGCAGATGATTTTAATATTAGCAAGGAATGAATAGTTCTCTTGACTGTTCCAAATTATTGCACTGAAACCTGAAACTACTTTTCATGTGCAGTCTTGAGTTAGCAAACCTGGCAAGTACTCTGTGGGTTTAGAGAGAAGAGATGATATAAAAAAATTAAAAACAGTAATTCCTTGACACATGAGCCTTAAAGGCAAATTAAATTGTGCTCAGGTTACTTTCACATTAAAACAACTATTTGATTCAGCTCCTATCTCCTACAGCACTGAGTTAGTACCATAAGAATGGTTTCCTAGGGGAAGTTAGAACATCTGCCAACAACAGTAGCTACTTTTTAACATTAAGGATACTTGAACTTTCTTAAATAGCTCATAAAAATAACAGTGCATATGTTTGTAATCTAATGCTTAACATCAGAATTAAACAAGCCCGAGGACTTTCAAAAACACAGATCAGTTTAGAAAGCTTATCTGTCCAGCACTATAATAGCAAAACAGCCCATCAGTAAAAAGGATGGAAAATTTTCTGCTTTCTCTTTTTTGCATTTCTTTTTAAAAAAGAAATATATATTTATACATAAGATGTATATTTACATATATAACAGTATATACGATTTTATGTAATTAAATTATATTTTATATACATTTATATTTTTATATTATATATGAGCTAATTGACAAAAATATCTATACTGAATCTTCTTCCAGTTAGAATCCTCCCTTCCCCATAATAAATTCTATTTTGGCAGTAAGTAAAAATAATACTTTGGTTTTTTTTAGCATTGTTTCTTAAGGAAATAAGATTTATAAGATCATGGGGTCTATTTGTTCATCTCCACTTAGTTGTTGAATTTTCTGGCCAGTTTCAAGTGAAAATGATGTAGGGAGTGATATCAAAAACTGCTCTTCAGTATATATTGGTGCATGTGTATACATATACATATATGTATATGTATACACATACACTATTTATATATGTAGAAATAGAAAAAAAACATTTATATATAAACATACACATGTATTATAAGTTTCATAAAAAAACAGGCAGCCGATTAGATATAGTGAGGAAAGGCATGTTAGGATGTGCCCAGCTGTGCCTGACAGAGCCCAGAGCCAGTCAATATCTATTTCACATGCACCAGTAATGGGAACGCAGTGACAAGTGGCAGTAGTTTGAGACGGTTTGGGGTAGAGGGAGGGAGGGAATTCATTGGAATAAAAATAAAGAAGAAGGGAATGGGTGACTTGGAGGAACATGGGAAAGCTGGAGAAGACTTGAGCACTGCAGTGGAGAGATACAGGGTTTGTGGATGGATAGAAGGGGCTGCCAGGTGGTGGTGGGAAGGCAGAGATATGCAGGGCAGTACACAAAGCTGTAAGACTAAAATCAACTCTTCGTTAGTTCTGCTGCTCAGCGACCGCTTGCTCAGTGTCTTCTGCCAGGTGAGGAAATGCTGCGACTTGCCCTGGTTGCTCAGGCCCTCTAGACAGAGAAATTCGGTGAGCTGATGGTAACTGCATGCTGACTTTGGGTCAGGAAGCACAGGCAAGAGATCAAATGCCAGTGGAAAATCAGAGGGTGCCACTACAGGACCTACAGGTGAGACTACTTAGAGGAGAAAGGCCACTGCTGGAACGCAAATGCAGATCTGATTTGGGTTTAGGGGTGACCAGGGCACTCCAGCTCAGCTCTTCCTAGCTGCAAGAGGTTAATTTTAGAAACTTGCACCAAATGAGGGAAACAATACAGGAATATTGCTGACAGAAGATCAGCTGAATACAGCACCATAAGGAGCTTAACTTTCATACCTCCATAAGGAGGAAGGAGAAGTTTAGAGCTCTGCCATAGTGAAGGAAACCAAACTCTGAGAGTACTTTAGTTTATTATAGGAAACAAGGCTAGGACTCGTCTAACAATGTTTTTTGTTTACCTATTATCCTTTGCAAGGAATTAGGAAATTATTATTATTATTATTAAAGGAAATTATCCTTTGCAAGAAAGAAGGAAATTCTTATGGGAAAAGCAACGTATAGGCACTAGGTAAGACCTGTTACAACTAACAGACACTATACTCCATATAGTTTTAATCTTATTATAATCTCCATTTTTCAACTGAAAAAAAATCAAAACGCAGTAACATATCAACTGCAGCAACCAAAAAGTTCTGTCAAAGCCAAAATGTTTAAAATCCCATTAGTTAAAAGAAAGCAAACCCAGAGTGAAGTGACAAGTGCCCATATGAAATGGCAGCCAAAGCTGTGAAGTTGTATGGGTAACTGTTGTCAAAACAAGTGCTTGCATATTGTGTCTCAGCTCACAGGGCCCTTTTTCTGACTGAGTTTTCAGTAATACATTAACATTAGAGGTAATAAATCTTAACAATGTAAAGATTCAACATGCACCTGGGGAGCTCTGTGGGAGAGGCTCACAGACCTATGAAAGCAGAGCCACTTTTGGGAATGGAAGACAAATGATGAGGGCTGCCAAGGAACAGAACCTAGAAATGCCCCTGAAGATCGACCAGGAGAGACACTAAGATCCCTCCTGTGAATGCTCTTCTACATCTAAATTAAAATTGCAATGCTCATGCACTCAGATAGTACAGCTGTAAGCACAAATAGTGAGTTCAGTTAGGCAAAACCATCTTTTGGCTTTGACAGTTAATACTTTTGAACAGAATCAGTAAGTTTATCCTCTACTGCATCCAGTTCTCAAACACTGCACCCTGCTCCTCTCCAGGTCAGTTGGAGTTGCAGAAGCTCAGGTCCAAGAAAAACTAAAGATGAGGCCCATTTTTCTTCTGCAGAGCCCTTAGAATCGTGCAATACTGCAAATAAATGCTAAGATAGTGCCCTTGTCACAGGAACACACACTGCTGTAAATACACAGAAGCAGCAGATCTTTTTCCTTCCTTAACGAAGCAAGCAGAAAATGGTAACTTTAGGAAGGGCCTAAAAAAGAAAGAGCATAGAGGTGTCACCCTCAAGACTACTTCAAGATGCTTCCAGATGCAAGTACATCAGACAGTGACCAGCTGCAGACACCCTATCTTTCCTGGAAAGGCCATACGCTCTTTCCAAGCCTGGCTCCATCAGAAGTGTCTATCTCCAGAGGCAGCATTGCCAAGAATGTGAAAACAGGAGGGCTGCCTAGGCAACACCGTAAACTAGTATGTATTGATCTACCACATCCTGCTGACTGAAGCTAGGAAAGTAACTCATTTAGAATCACCTCTGCTGCTATGTAGAAGTATGCACCTTACTCTATGATTGTTGTTATGCACTGATATGGAAGAAAAAAGAACTATACCAAGCCAAAACGGGAAGGTAGTCAGGGACGATTTAATTCAGTTTTTGTCTACCTATAATGGTATCAAAGAGGAAAATGGAAAACAGTCTCCACCTCTGCTGGAGTTCAAAAGCAGAACATGGGGAACTGCAATTAATGAGTGAAGGCCTCAACGGATTGAAAAAAAAAGCTTAGGGTAGAGCAACAGAAAGCAGTTAGAAAGAAGCAGAGGCGAAAGAGCAGCAAAAGCAAGAAGCAAAAGTTAGAAGAGCTAACGAAGGTTCGAAGAGCAAAGCAAAGAATGTCAGAGAAGCAACTGAAAGTATTCCAAGGGAAAAAAAGTTCCAAACAGTAATGCAAGAAAAAAAAAAAATACCCGAGCATATCACTACTTTGGAAACTATGCAAATGTGTAACACAGTACTCACTGCATCTCGCCTAGCACACTCCTCCTCTCCACGGCACTGGGGCCACCCTGGCCCCCCCGGCTGGCCATGCCCTGCTCTGCCTGAGGGGATCTCCACTTGTTGAGCTCCGATCCTGCTAGCAATTCCCACCTGAGTGAGGTGCTGTATCTGAGAACCTTAAAAGCAAATATTGGATTTTTTTTTTCATCTTTATACACAGTTAGGTTTGTAGGGCAGACAAATGACAATATAAAACGTTGTTGGAAGCAGAAGACAAGAAGAAAGTGGAGCTCTGTTTCTGTGTAAATTATATATAAAAATAAAGAAAATCAGCAGAAAGAAGGCTACCGGTGCAGAATAAAGAGAGAAAAGTTACGTGCATTTTGGGCAGTCCATTTGAGTGTGATGCTTTTCATTGTCACTGCGCTGAAGCAAGAGCTTGAGATACTTGTACCTCAGACATGGACTGCACTCTGCTCCACAAGCATGTCAGCTCTTTCCACAGGAGTGTTTATTGAAAGCCCTGGCAATGCTTTCATGTAAACCACTTAGCAGCAAAGAGAAGACATTTGCTACGGTGGCACACCTTATTTGCATCACACTGGCAAGACCCTAACTCTCTAGACTGCTTTCTAGTCCAGCCCTCAGAAGAATAAAACACATGAGTATGTAAGAGCATAGTTCTTTCAGCTTTGCTTTATGGTTAAACATTAAATGATGCTGCCACTAAGAGAAGGTCAGAACACACTGTATCTCCTTCATTAATTCAGCCTGAAAGCTAATCTCCTCCTTTTCCCTCCCTTTGCCTTTCCTCCCCATTGCTTTCAAACACATGCAAGAACAGCCACCATCATTAACTGCAGGAGATATGTAGCAACACGTCAGCTTTCCTTTTCACTCCCAAATTCTTTCCCACAGGGATACAAATTTATAAGCACATCAGAAACAAAACATTTAATAAACTCACAGATACATAACAGAAAAATGTATGTGTGTGCACACTCACAAAAAGGGAGGAAAAGACAAAATCAGCAGTGTGATTCAGTGTGATTTAGTTGATGTCAGTTCATTTTTATGTATTCCACTCTAAAAAAAGTCCCACAACTGATATTTCACAAATTTGATATCTGCACTTACTTATGCAGGAAAATGGCAGGAAATAATCTTAATTCACCCCACATTTAAAAGCAGATGATACACAAACATATATAAAATAATGTGAATCAGAGGATAAAATATTCAGCGTTAAATAATAACAGTTACCACATCCTTGTCTTTCTCATTCACTTCACAATTATAGTGAGAGGTGAGCAACCATCAAAATTAGGACTATGGCTAAAGTGTCTGATCACATTTTCAGTTCTTTTCAACTCTCTTGGAATAACATATTTCTCTCAGAGAAACTGTGGCATTTAGATAACAGAACCTTTCATTCCTATAAATCACTGTTTGCTGCTTAATGGCCACGTGATGCTGGAATCTTATTCATTACAATTTCCACAGCAATCACCAGGGCTCGTAAATCCAAATCTGGAAAGAAGATTTCTTAGGGGATAGCAGCAATAGATGGAATCTTCAGACACTATATTTTTCATTGCCTTTCCTAGAAATGAGGGCATAAAGGCAGGACGTTTTAGTGAGTATACAGAGAAGTACAAAAAAAAGTTTCTTTGGCAGGCTGATTTGGAATGCATCAATTAGCTCATTTAGAATAAAACAAAGACTTGCAATGGAAAGTCACTGTGTACTATAAAACAATTTAGTTATTTTCTATTCACACAGGATTTTTTTTTATCCCTACACTGTGGGATAACCAAGGCTTGCAAAACCCTAACAAAAACTGGCAAAGCACTGCCTTTTTCCATGAGGTCGAATATACATAAAAGCCAGCCCGAGCCAAGGCCTAGCTTTGGCCTCACTATCACTTCATGATCACTTTTTTTTGGCAGTTGAAGACAAGGGTCACATTTCAAGTGTTGTAGCTGAAGAAGAACCATGTGTCAGAGGCACCCTCAGTTTAAGAGTAGCCCTGGAAAAGGCCTGCTTATTTCAGAGCTTGTTCAGTTTGTGTGAAACGTACCTGCAGTGCTTCCGACTGGCCGTGGTCGTGCCACCGAGGGCGCTTCTTCCGCGTACATCCCTCTGGAGGGATACTGAGCCTCGGGCGCTTGCTGCTCCGCGTGCATTAACTCTGCAGGCGGAAGAAAACCTGGCCCAAAGTTCTGTCTGTAGAAAAGGAAGAACTCGAGATTACAGTAAGTGAATGGCCCAATTAAAACATATATAAATATCTTACATACTCACTTATATATATCTATATATATGTCTCATACCTCAACTCTTTATGATCCCTCTGATGCACGTTTTAACCGCAAATGCTACAAAATGTTCCCGTCCAAGGAACACATTCCTCCTTTATAACATGCACAGGAATAGAAGTTAGCAATTCTAACAAAAAATTCATAGAGGTGTTTTTCACATATTGCAGTTTCTTCAATGCAGAGAATGAAAACCCACAGATACTGTTTTCACATGGTAGAAACAGTGTCTCCTAGCTTTGGTCTCACTCAAACAGAACAAACAACTTCACACATGTTTCTCAGAACCCATTACTATTTCATCAAGTGTTCTGTTCATTTTTCTGAATATTTTCAAAATCCTGTTCTTCAAGAGGTATCAAACTACACAAAACAGCATCAAGCACAAGTGATGGAAGATGTTGTGTATAATAAAATTAATGTTTCCTATTTCTGGCTTGCACTGGTAGTCTCTGAGAAGAGTTAAATACAGCAGCTGTCATAAATTTATCTTCATTAATTGTGCCAAGGTAACACAACTTATTGAAGTCATCCTAGGATTCTTTCATAGGAACAGAGAAGAAGGAGGAAATGTTGCTTTTGCTACACTTCCTATTAATAGACATAAACCCTGACGCGGAGAGATCATATTTAAGAGAATGATGACACCTGAGCTTTCATGACTTATTTTTGCCTAAGCTTCTCTGCCAATAAACTTTGGATGTCTAGGATATAAGACAAGTATTTCTTAGACTCCATGTATGATTAAAGAATTAAAGAAAAGAGACAGGCTTCTTGAGAGGCATTCACAGCAAAGGATTTAATGCAACAAACCTTGTTCTGAAAGAACCTGTATCTCACAAGTGATTATAAGGGAATCAAGAGAGGCAAACCTCTTACCTAAAGCACATGAAGTCACACAGTGAGGACTGAGGCCTAGTTTTATACACCTCTATGGCACCTAAGCAGTTCTAGGACACAGACTGAAACTTATGCCACCCTTTAACACCGAAGTTTTCACACTGCATGTGATTACATCCAGCACAACCTACTCATGATCTGGGCTTATCTGGCAAACTAGCATCCTGTGTATGAAGAGATAGCCAAGAAAGTTGATCAAAAGCATAGATCTGAGTAAAGCCAAAACAAGTAATTGCAAAATAAAGTAATAACTCTTTGGCATAAAATGCTACATGCAAGAGGCGTAAGGGGTTCAGGCTGTAACAATCCCACTGTTGAATTGTCAGAATTCCCCTATCTCTTTGCATACATTCCCAACTTTCCACTCAGCAGCTCCAGAGGAAACAACTTTCTGACCAGATTTATGGGCTAGTTAAAAGAAATGTCAGAAAGGGCAGGTAATGTTTAACAATGCCTTTTGTTATTTTGATCACTGTAACTAGAAGAAGAAAGATGTGATCACCCAGCATTTTATGCCTACAGCACAGAGCTGGAACCTTACAATTGATAAGATATTGTGATTTTTGCTGTTGCTTTTAAAGCAAATATCTTAACATTATTGCGGAACGGATTATTTTTATGCCATTTTTTTTCCGAGTGGAGGAGAGGTCTATACTTTATTGCTGATGTGTTTGCAGTTGAAAGGAGAAGTTTAATAACCAACGTCCTCTCTGTGGAACGTTCTTTATAATGGATTCTGCTACTCTTCAAAGTTCAGAGATCAACAAAAGAGGATGGAAACTGGATACATTTCAGAACCTATATTAGGAAGCAGCACTAGAAAGCTGTCTATTGCCAGACTGAAACCCAGCCTTCAGTTTATCTTCTCAGGCTCAAAAAAAAAAAAAGAAACCCAAACCCAAACCAAAACAAACACACGAAAAACCCAAACAAACAAACCCCCACAAAAAAACAAAACACCCAAATGGTTTCACCTCCAGGGACTGCCCCAGAAATAAATTTTGGAGCATTTGGCCACCATGGCTTAAATGCTTGGTATCTCTGTTGCACTATGCAATATTCATTCTCAGGTAAAAGCTCCTTTTTGTGCCTTTATATTTGCACAGCTGTTATGTGACCTCACTTTTTAATGTTTACGTCTTTATTTTTTACCCAGGTTTGTTCCTGCCCATTACAGATGCTGGCTGCATTTGTACACAGCAGGGAACAGCCTGGTTACCTAACGATTACTCCATGCATTGGGGTATTCTAGTGAAGCAAATGAACTATGACATTGACACATGCTACCTAATCACACTGACCTCAGGTTATTTTCCTTTCTCCAGTTTGTGCACTATTTCTATCATTTGTTCTATTACTATCTTCTGAATTTGAGCATAACCATGCAGCTCTTGGCTGCTTTTCTGTCAACCATGCTTCAGGAAACCCTCTATTTTAACGAAAATTTTAAGGAATTCTTCCTTACAAGGTCCACGCCCTTGCAGACTGCTAACTTAATCTGCTGGCGCTGTTAGAAGCAAGTGTTTGAACATTTAATAACAGCACCATCAATCCGTAGCTTACAGAAACCCAAAATGCCTACACTGAGGGTTGATGAGCTTTTGAACAAAGCAGATGTTGCAAAGACCACATCTCGCTTAGGTGTTTTAACAGAGGTTACAGCACTTTTATAACTAGTTTATCAGATTTTCCCTCAATCTGCAACAGGCCAGGAGAGAAAAGACCCCCAACAGCTATGCAAGTGCTAGTATATTTCATTATGCACTGTACACAAAATGCTGGCAGCCTCAAAGCTCATAATCCACGGGGTATCTAATTTACAAGAACATAAACCCATGACAAAGATGACTGCACATCATGCTCTGCATCATTTTACATGCTGCTCCATTCACACTGGAACTGCTCATTTCAGCCAAGACTTAAGTGAGCAAATGTGTTTATAGACTCAAATGTTCTCTCTTTTGCTAGCCGATACTATGAAAAGAGGGTTGCAGAACAATGGACAAAGGACAATTTTCCTTATCCATTTTGTAGCTAGAGAACTACCAGGTTTCCAAGGCAGTGAGGATATTAGACGAAATCTGAGGAATAACATGGGTACCAGCGGGCTTCCCCCTCAGGTGGTGTGCTTAAAAAAGGTAATAGATGGGTGGTTTCAGGACACCTTTTTACTACCTCAGCTAAAGCAGTTTGGTGTGTGTGAGCGAGACAAGCATGACCCAAGTGGCTATGGTGACTGCAGAGGAGCTGATGTCATGTACACACAGATACCAAGCAAGGAATAAACCATCTCTTGGCAATTGTCTCTTTACATAATTCTCCCTCAGTGAGGCCAGAGGAAGATGCAGAGGTTGTTCCCCACTGACTTTACAGCAGTGGATCTGAAAAGCAGGTTTACTCTGTGAGGGTCAGTATGCTCTGCAATTTATTTTAGCCTGCTTGGCAAAAAATGAAACGAGCTGGTAGCCATTTGCAAGCTTTTGCAAGTGAGTGTAGTATTGAGGCTACAGACACAAGGTGAAAGTAAGAGCACTGGGCGAAGTGCACACATCTGAGTCACTGTTTCAGGTCGCAAGTCAATGGTTTCCTCAGTGTTTGGAAGACTAGCTCTATAGCCAAGGAGCTAGAAACATATTTCTCTTAAAGGGAGGCTTAGATTCCACACAGTCTCACAGTATATCATTCATGCTCTATAAATTACACAGGCTGGATCTGGACTCTATACAGTTCTTTGCATAATAACATACCAAAGTCAGTGAGAACTCTGGAGAAAATGCAAAGAAAATAATAAATGATAATTCCATCAGCGAAAAACTACCTTGGTAGGAGGCCTGGTGCTGTTGGCGGAGTCATTCCAAATTCCACATACCTCTGTTGAAAGAATGAAATGAATTAAAATCCATACACCGGGAAGTTTGGGGTCAGCCCTTGCAGTGATGAACAGCAGGGATCAGTAAGCCTGTATGTGCAGCTGGTTTGCAACTTTGTGGCTTAGTTCTACAAACGGAGTTGCACAAAGCGGTGCAGGAAGCATCACTACACGGACCCTTCTGTGCAACAATGTTTGTAAAACTAAGCTATAAAGTTAAAAGCGAAGCAGTCTCCTTTGTCTGATCATTGTCTTTATGTAACTTAGAAACCTTTTCAAAACATTCTTGCTTGCTTGAGGATGAAGGGCTCCCTCAATGTATATTTAGCTTAAAATTTTCAGGGAACCAAATTTTTCCTTTCTCTTACATGCTGCAAGCTCATCAACTTCTGCTGAACTGCTGTGGAAGCCAAGGTGACCTGACTATCCATATGTCTCAGTGCTCCATAAAATACAAAGAACATAAACAGAAATACTGCTCCCCTACGAAATACATACAGTATCTATTTCAAAATAAGTAATTAACTGGCATATATATTAAAAGAAAATAAATTTGTCTCTTAGACATGGCAAGATTGTTCTCTGAAGAATCACAGCTGAGAAGATCAGAAGAGTTATCATAAAGGAAGAGAAGGCCAGGGAAGGAAAAAGGGAAAAGGAATTCAAGTGACTAAAAAAGTGAGTTCACTATTTTGTGATAGATCATTTGTGAACTCCCCTGGCTCTGGAATTTTCTCAGGGCTTGTGATAACTCCAGATAGAGAAGATACAACAACAGTGACTGTAGCTCAACTGGTGCTAACTTCCTGCCCAGAAAAGCCTTTCAAAATGCATCACTCACATTAAATGGGTTGTTTACTGCCTGAGCGGGACCGTTAGTTGATGCCCTCCCTGCTCGAGCGGGAGTGCTGCTTCCCGGCTGTCCTGCAGAGACCCCGGGAGCTGTGACAGCAGTGGAATTGGCTGCTTGGCTACTGGGAGCCACGAGGGCAAAAGCGTCATCCAGCAGAGAGTGCATGGTCTGCCGAGCCTCTTCGATGGACGGCTGCGGTGGGATGTACTGGGAGATGGGGTGGGAAGGCAAGGCAGGAAACTTCCCAAGGTCAGCTGAAGAAGACGTCTGAGGTTCAGGAGGCAAGTCTGGATCAGACTGGAAAAACACAAAGAAGGTGAAGAGCAGCCAGATCTAAATAGGCAACCTCCAAGACACACCAGGCCTTAATTCAGAGTAACATCCTCCTTGCCAAATGAGAATAGGATAAATGGCACAAGCTCCAGCACTGGACAAAACTTATTCCCTCCCCACTCAGCATGCACATACATGATACCAACCGTTCCAGTGCTTCCTGCAGGGCCCCCTGCAACACTGCAATACCAGATAAGGCAGCAGAGCCATCAGTGGCTACACAGCTATCACAGGAATCCAGTGTGCATGGATTCATGCTGTGAGCATTTTACTCCACCCAGAAAAGAGCCAATCTGCTCTGTATACACCTCTGAATTCACTACGGACTTTGCAATACTAAGAAATAAATGCAGTCTTTAGTTTCCAACTGACCACCCCAGCAGCAATATTAAGCAATTACTGCCTTCCAGAAAAGGATGCAGAGGGAGCTGTTAAGCAGCTAAGTGATCCGCCGCGCAGAACTTGAACTGAGGCGCATCACCTGAAAGGGTCTCACTAAATTGTTCCTAGCAGCGTGACCCGAGGCAAGCACCACAATTACTACCCGGGATCTTACCACACGGGCTTACTGCTCATCAGGAACAGGAAATGAAACCGGCTCTGCAGTAGCAGAGCAATCATCAAAGCTCATTCTTGCCACTGCACGCAGCCTGCAAAATGGCCTGTGGAGATGCACGAGGCTGTGCTTCACGGGGAGCTTTGCACTGCGAGTACTGCCTCTCCACAGACGCCACAGGGGCTGGCCTTGCTGTGTGACAAGTCTTAATTACAGAGCTCCAGATGATAAACCATTCTGCTGCAGCATGACACTAAAATCATCACACTCTTGTGTGGATACAGAGGGGAAACTACAGAAGTCCACACTATAGACACTTGACTGCATATGTAGCTAATAGGGAAATCCTTAAAATTATTAATCTATTTTTCAAGATGAAAGCTGTACAGGGGGTTCCAATGCTAGCATCAGACATAGCAAAGACTGATGAAAAGTAATTAAAATATGCCCAAATACATACAGTTTATGGAATGGATATCATTGAAAAGAAGTGGTCTCCATTTTTTGTCATATTTAAACAGGAAATAAAACTAATTTTCAAGACACTGGATTAGAATTGTTCCAAGTTATTGCAGTACAAAGATGTCTGTTACTCTTGCTTTAATAATTAATTCCTACATTTTAACAATGAGAAAATGTTCCATAAAAGGAACTGAGACTTTCATTATGTATGAAAAAAGGTAATATGTTCTGTAACATGAATATATAACATGCAGCAAATTGGACTAAAGTGAAACAAAGTTCATCACAGTGTGGAGCATGCAAAGCACATTTTCATGTGCATAATACAGCAGCATTAGCAAAAACAAAGTTTTAGCTCTTCTTTAAAATGACGGAGTTCTTGGCAGATTTTTACTGCTTAATACTAACGGAGTGCCAGGGAAATCCTTGTTTCACTCTGATTTAGTGCTAATTACACATGACTGAAACCAGCCACAGAGACCACAGTCAGAAGGCCAAGACCTCCCCTTCTTGCAATGGTCATTACAATTACCAGAACACCCCTGCCATTCAGGAGACACACGTACAATGTATGCAGAGTTATTGACTCCTGGAGGCCTTTTGTAGGTGCCGTCACTGTCCGTTGTGATCAGCCTGTCCTTCTCCGCGTCAAGGGGACTGCCGTTCAGCTGGTGCCGTCGGCGCTGCTTGGGGGAACGTTTCGCACGAGAACTTAATGGGAAGAAAGCAAAAAGGAAGAGGAAGGGAAAGACAAACAAGAGACAGGTCATTACATTTCCTTTTTTTTTTTTATTTTATTTTCCCTTCTCAGTCTCATGCTATGTTGAACTTCAATGCCCATTCCCTCCGAATCATCTTCTCAGCCCTGTCTTTCTTCCCTTGCTCAGTTTTTCAACCCAGCACCAGTCGCTAAACCCAAATCTTTCTCCTCAATCTTCTCCTCCCTCAGGCCCCAGGCTCCCCAAACAGACCCCCTCCCCATTCACACTCTTTTCAGCGTCTCTTCTCTGCACTCATCTTCCCAGCCACCCATGCTCCTGCCTGTTCTGCTTCTCCCCACTTCCCAGATCCATGCAAAGTCTGATACATTCTAACCAGCAGAAGAAATGAAACCACCAGGCTTTGTACTTGGCACCTTCAGCTTAACCTGCCTGGGACAGGTCTTTTGAAGAACATGTGAAGATTCTGAATGTTAAGGGCAAATTAACAAATCATATGTTTTGTAAGTTGATTAAGTATTTCACAATTTTGCTTTTTTTTCCGTTATAAAAGATGTTTCTTTCAGTTTATAGGATTTTTTAGGTTTTTTTTTTAAGTGCTTACAATATATTACCATTTTGATCCCCTACAAAAAGCAGAGCCCCCGGGAGCTGTGACAGCAGTGGAATTGGCTGCTTGGCTACTGGGAGCCACGAGGGCAAAAGCGTCATCCAGCAGAGAGTGCATGGTCTGCCGAGCCTCTTCGATGGACGGCTGCGGTGGGATGTACTGGGAGATGGGGTGGGAAGGCAAGGCAGGAAACTTCCCAAGGTCAGCTGAAGAAGACGTCTGAGGTTCAGGAGGCAAGTCTGGATCAGACTGGAAAAACACAAAGAAGGTGAAGAGCAGCCAGATCTAAATAGGCAACCTCCAAGACACACCAGGCCTTAATTCAGAGTAACATCCTCCTTGCCAAATGAGAATAGGATAAATGGCACAAGCTCCAGCACTGGACAAAACTTATTCCCTCCCCACTCAGCATGCACATACATGACACCAACCGTTCCAGTGCTTCCTGCAGGGCCCCCTGCAACACAGCAATACCAGATAAGGCAGCAGAGCCATCAGTGGCTACACAGCTATCACAGGAATCCAGTGTGCATGGATTCATGCTGTGAGCATTTTACTCCACCCAGAAAAGAGCCAATCTGCTCTGTATACACCTCTGAATTCACTACGGACTTTGCAATACTAAGAAATAAATGCAGTCTTTAGTTTCCAACTGACCACCCCAGCAGCAATATTAAGCAATTACTGCCTTCCAGAAAAGGATGCAGAGGGAGCTGTTAAGCAGCTAAGTGATCCGCTGCGCAGAACTTGAACTGAGGCGCATCACCTGAAAGGGTCTCACTAAATTGTTCCTAGCAGCGTGACCCGAGGCAAGCGCCACAATTACTACCCGGGATCTTACCACACGGGCTTACTGCTCATCAGGAACAGGAAATGAAACCGGCTCTGCAGTAGCAGAGCAATCATCAAAGCTCATTCTTGCCACTGCACGCAGCCTGCAAAATGGCCTGTGGAGATGCACGAGGCTGTGCTTCACGGGGAGCTTTGCACTGCGAGTACTGCCTCTCCACAGACGCCACAGGGGCTGGCCTTGCTGTGTGACAAGTCTTAATTACAGAGCTCCAGATGATAAACCATTCTGCTGCAGCATGACACTAAAATCATCACACTCTTGTGTGGGTACAGAGGGGAAGCTACAGAAGTCCACACTATAGACACTTGACTGCATATGTAGCTAATAGGGAAATCCTTAAAATTATTAATCTATTTTTCAAGATGAAAGCTGTACAGGGGGTTCCAATGCTAGCATCAGACATAGCAAAGACTGATGAAAAGTAGTTAAAATATGCCCAAATACATACAGTTTATGGAATGGATATCACTGAACAGAAGTGGTCTCCATTTTTTGTCATGTTTAAACAGGAAATAAAACTAATTTTCAAGACACTGGATTAGAATTGTTCCAAGTTATTGCAGTACAAAGATGTCTGTTACTCTTGCTTTAATAATTAATTCCTACATTTTAACAATGAGAAAATGTTCCATAAAAGGAACTGAGACTTTCATTATGTATGAAAAAAGGTAATATGTTCTGTAACATGAATATATAACATGCAGCAAATTGGACTAAAGTGAAACAAAGTTCATCACAGTGTGGAGCATGCAAAGCACATTTTCATGTGCATAATACAGCAGCATTAGCAAAAACAAAGTTTTAGCTCTTCTTTAAAATGACGGAATTCTTGGCAGATTTTTACTGCTTAATACTAACGGAGTGCCAGGGAAATCCTTGTTTCACTCTGATTTAGTGCTAATTACACGTGACTGAAACCCGCCACAGAGACCACAGTCAGAAGGCCAAGACCTCCCCTTCTTGCAATGGTCATTACAATTACCAGAACACCCCTGCCATTCAGGAGACACACGTACAATGTATGCAGAGTTATTGACTCCTGGAGGCCTTTTGTAGGTGCCGTAACTGTCCGTTGTGATCAGCCTGTCCTTCTCCGCGTCAAGGGGACTGCCGTTCAGCTGGTGCCGTCGGCGCTGCTTGGGGGAACGTTTCGCACGAGAACTTAATCCTTTTTTTTTTTTATTTTATTTTTCCTTCTCAGTCTCATGCTATGTTGAACTTCAATGCCCATTCCCTCCGAATCATCTTCTCAGCCCTGTCTTTCTTCCCTTGCTCAGTTTTTCAACCCAGCACCAGTCGCTAAACCCAAATCTTTCTCCTCAATCTTCTCCTCCCTCAGGCCCCAGGCTCCCCAAACAGACCCCCTCCCCATTCACACTCTTTTCAGCGTCTCTTCTCTGCACTCATCTTCCCAGCCACCCATGCTCCTGCCTGTTCTGCTTCTCCCCACTTCCCAGATCCATGCAAAGTCTGATACATTCTAACCAGCAGAAGAAATGAAACCACCAGGCTTTGTACTTGGCACCCTGAGTTTAACCTGCCTGGGACAGGTCGGCTGAAGAACATGTGAAGATTCTAAATGTTAAGGGCAAATTAACAAATCATGTATTTTGCAAGTTGATTAAGTATTTCACAATTTTGCTTTTTTTTCCGTTATAAAAGATGTTTCTTTCAGTTTATAGGATTTTTTAGGTTTTTTTTTTAAGTGCTTACAATATATTACCATTTTGATCCCCTACAAAAAACGAAAATAAAGACATAAATAGCAGAGCAAATATAAATTGTTTAAAAAAAAAATTCATACATTTGGAGTTTCTTTCAGTTTATAGGATTTTTTAGTTTTTTTTAAAGTGCTTACAATATATTATCATTTTGATCCTCCTACAAAAAAACGAAAATAAAGAAATAAATAGCTGAGCAAATATAAATTGTTTAAAAACAATTTTCATACATTTGGGTTTATTTACTGAGAATTCATCCATGAGAATGTGCTAAGAAATAACCTGAAAACATACTGGTAAATGCAGAAGTAAACCAAAATATTTAGAATAGCCCCAAGCTTTTTACCCAGACAAGTTCAACTAAGGATCAAAATCATTTTAAGCTCTGAAAGTTCAGAGGTACAGACCTGATGCACTTTGGAATTTGACTTTAAAAGAAAATTGTTCTTTCTCATCTTTGAAATCCCTACCTCTTCCTGGGCTCTATGAAGACAGTCGGCACGTTGCCTCCAGGGTCCAAGATCTTGTCAATTTGCATCTGTGCCTTACGATATATTCTGTGCTGTTCTTTGGAGTCAACCACCACCACATCATCCACCACTGGAAACTCATAGTGCCCTTTGCGCTTGGCGCGAAGACGAATCTTATTGCGGTGATGCTCAATCTCAGATTTATGCCTTAGGGCTGTCTGTATCTTAAAGAAGAAGGAGGAAAAAAGTCAAGTGCTTCTTCATTTTTACTTGTATTTAGAACTTCTTGCTGCTGTTCCATAAACCCCTTGTCCTCACCTCACTGCCTGGCCTCACCTCCTAAAAGATTAAAAAAAACAAACAAACAAAAAAAAACTGCAGGATTAAAATAAGGCACATGAAATTTGTAAGCATTTTTAAGGACATTTTTGTCCCTCCTTCCTGCAGTTTTTGCATTATCACCCCAGGTATATGTACTCTTTTACCCAATACAATCACCAGCACAGCAGGTGCAATTAAAGAGAAGTGACAGTCTATTAACAAAAGGCAACAGGAGCACAAAAATGTCCTGCCATTTGCCAGCAGTGACACTGCTCCGAGGAAACAACACTGACCAACATATGCTGTACCTATTTTTGCTTGTCAAACAGACACAGGACCAATAGGGCTCATGGGGTGCACCGAGCTCACTGAGCTCGGTACAAACCAGCCTCTTTGCTCAGTGTGAGGGGCTGCCACAAGCTATGCAGAAATGCAACAGCAGCCTTAGAGCCTCGGCCTGAGGTGGACATGGTATGACTCCATGACTTCCTTCAGGATCAGCTTTCATGCCTTCCTCCTGTCCTTTTTCAAATTCCTTGGTGTGTACCACGGCATCTGGGCAAAACTGCCATATCACCATGCTTTTAAGTACTAGCTCAACACTCACTGAAATGATTTTTTAATCACACCACAGGTAACAGATAAAAATGGACACTTTTGGTCCAATGGTCTCACTAAAAATCAAAAAAAGGCATATGTAGGACATAAGCCAGATTTGTTCTTTGCATTTACAGTTAGAATTACATCAGTCTTCTGCCCATATAATTATACTTTTATTTCCTGAATTCTCTTGTCCATGCAGACTGGATATATCCATTTCTCCCTTTTTCTGTGGGGACTGAGATAAATGGTGCCTTGCCACAGTTAAGTTACAGGTTTCAGTAATCTTCCACTTTCACTTATGGGAAAATGCTATCTTCCCTAGTACAAAATCAGGACACAGGTTCATGGTATTTCTGGCAGCGGAAGAACTGGTTTTACAGTGCATTAACTTCTCTTCTACTGCCCCTGGGCATATCCTCATTCTGCCTAAAATAACCTGAGCTCCTAAGAAAACAGTAAGTTTCTGTATGCTTACTGCCAAATAAGTATATGCATGTGAGAAGTCGGAAGCATTTAATGTGTTGCAAATTCACACTCCAGAGTGCTTTGAGACCCTTTCTTAGTAAAAGCTGTGTCCGGAGCTGCAGGAAAGCCAAGAGAACAGTGTGCAATGAAACGCAGGTGGGCCAGAGAGCCCCAACTCTGCCACATTCATTAGCAGAACTCTCACAAGTCGTGAGGCTAGAAAAAACAGGGCAACAAAAGGTAGCCTGACTACCAGCACTGCTTGCAACAGGTCAGATTATCTCTGGATGGAAAGAGGATCATACCAGTGACTTGTCAAGACTCTACCCCGCAGGGGGTGGTAACGAACTAACATGGAACTCCTCACTACATGAAAGAAACTAGATTTTTACTTCTCTCATGGATGGAAATCTTTATCTGTGCAAATGGCATCTTCCAAGACGAGCTCTCGAAGCACTTTAAAAATACCTCTTTGTTAATTTTGTTGGTTTCTGCTACTCGATCAGAAAGTATGGAGTTCTGCACTGGAGGCGCTGCCATGGGCTGCATAGCAATCAGCTGGATCTTGCTGGGGACCCTTCTGCTGGCATCCGAGGACCGCGACATCCTATCCACGTGTTCGAAGATAGAGGCTGAGGAGTGCTGCTCATTTCCACTGCTGCTCTGAGGAGGGCCTGAGTTATCAGAACAAATACACAGTAAAGTTGTGCTGCTAGGGTTATCTCAGTCAAATGTCAAGCTTTACAGATGCTACGCTAAGAGACTGCCATGTTCTCCATCTGTGTTTAATTTGTCCTCTGGGCCTTCCAGCTGATTCACATTTAATGCATAAGAAGTTTACCCAGTCATTTGCAAATTATAAACATTTTTCCATTACATTTCCAGAAGGTGAACTGCCATTCTTTGTTTCTGTAAATCAAGCTCTTGGCATCTGCAAAGCCCCAAAGTCTCAATCCACTCTAGCCCATAAAAAAGCTGCTCTATCACATACCGCTAACGGTTCTTCTTATCAGTACTTAAGGAGATGTAAATTCCTCAAATGGATTTTCAAAAAAAGCAATAAAAAGATGTCACGTTGCAAAACACAATTTTTAAAAGGTAAGGCATAGAAGGAACAATACATTAACTAAACAAAAAATACTTAAAAATATACACACAGACACAAAAAAAACCAGTAAGAATTCTATAGCCCTTTTACTGATTTAAACTTTAAAGCCCTGCTTTCTTCTTAGGGACACAATAAATGGTTAACATACTAACATGCAAGCTGCACAAATATTGCCATGTTAGAATCTGCTGAATGGGATGTATGAACCCAGATACAATCAGGAAATGAAGCTATGGAAACCAATACTGGAAAGCTACACAGCCCTGGTTTAGCCAACAAGCATTAAT